GATGCTGTGAAACATTAATTCTAAGCAGAAAAAAGCCCAAAATGAAATATAAACTGAAAGATAGAAAGAGAGAATGGAAGACATTCCTCCTGCTAATGTGGAATTGAAGAAAAGGCCATCTGGGTTGCCTCAACAAACTGGAATGATACACTGAGAGTTTACATTTTTTTTTTTACCTATCAAAAATCTAGCATGCAGGTAAAGCAAATTGAGAAATGACTTTATTTCTTTTTTTGGGAAATTAGAAAAACACATGTCATTGGCAAAAAGAGAAACAGACAGGAATTATATTTTCATTAGCAAAAACAAATTGAAATGAAAATAGAGAATGAACCCACTGCAAGGGTTAGGGTTATGAAAATCAATCTGTCATAATAGACAGGTGATCTGGTTTGTTTTCACAAAGACAGCGACTGGCCCAAGGAGGAAAACTAACATGTCTCTTTATTGAGAATTTAGGTAAACAAATATATTTCCATTGACAAAAACAAATTAGGAAACAATTTTTAACTCTCATTACATTAAATGGTAACCGTGACCCATGATGTAACCCTGTTAGCAGAGGTGATGTTATGATTATAATTAGAAAATTCTCTGATTCAGTATTAATAGAACTCATGGGTAATTGCATATCAAATCATCCAGAAAAAACAAAAAAAAGTCGCCCTTAATTTTTCTGAAATTTTGTTCATTTTTTTCACTGTTAAAGTATGACAATACCCCAAATTTGAGCTTCTAATTCCAAAAATTGTCCAATTTACATCATTTTTTAGTTTTCCCCAGTTTCAGGGGTCACTTAAAAAATCTTGATCTTTTGTAATTTATTGTTGTGTGTAAAATTAGTTCTAGAGCTTCTCTACTCCTAAAAAATTTGCCCAGGAAAAGCTATTTGGCCAGAGGAATCCAAAAATGCTATCAAAAAAGACTCAAAATGAATCAATTTTAAGTTATTAATGATTTCTGATCTTTTCATAGCAAGATCAATGGGGTGGGGGGCTTAGAATCCGTGCATGGCAGTGCATCTATGATAACAAAATTTTTTTATTATTTCATATATTGAACATTATTTGTACCAAAAAGATAGTTTGGTTAGTTCTTAGTTTGCTCAGAATAGAAGCTAAAACATTAGTTAAAATTTTGCACTTTTATGTTTTAAGTGTTTCTATTCAGCCATAGAATAAGGTCTATATGTAACAAAATAATTGTCAGAGTGGAATAGAAATAATTTTTTGGAAATAATATCTTCATTTGTGGGGTTCATGACATGTCTGTCTATCTAACAGCTCTTAGGGTTAGGGTGAAGGAGCTACAACTGTGTTGGCTACAAGGCCCGAAGAGAAAGGTAAAAGGTCTTCTAGCCAATACAATTGTAGTTCATTCACTCCTAACCCCCTTACTTAATAATAGACTGACTAACTTTTTTCTAGGAATTCTGGTAATATTTCTAAGAATTGTGCACCTCTGCAAAATCCAAGCTAACTAAAGTTATGAACAAATTGAAAAATGGCTTTTTGCTTGCTTACAATGTTGAAAAAACTGAACTTAGTGAAGAACCATGCACTTCTAGTAATCATGACTGCTCAAAAACTGATGAACTGGTTCAATTGCTATGATCGATCAACAGCAATGATCGAGAAGCCGAAAACTGCATCATAGACTGAAAAAGCACAAATCTTGACTCTTGTACCTGATTCATAGTCGCACTCATTCTGTGCTAACTACTTCAATGTTTCTGAATACCTTATTCGTACAGCTTGAAATTTGAAGAAGACAAAAGGTATACTAGCAGAGTCCCAAATCCAAAGAGAGGCAAAACATTGTCACAGGATTCAATCAACTTGCTAACTGAATTTTATAATGATGATAATGATTTTAGCTGGCAGTTCACCTGGTAGTAAAGACTCTGTAAGTATTGGGAACAAACAGTAGAAACAAAAACAACTGATTTTGTGTAACTTAAAAGAGGTATCTGCTGCTTTTAAAGAAAGACATCCTGATGTGAAGATAGGATTCTCAAAGTTCTGCTCTTTGTATCATTACCAGCTCAAGTGGTTCTCATTCACCACCAGAATGCAGTAATATGTGACCCATTAAACAGAATATGCATGATGCATCGCTGTGAAAAGTGCCTTGAATCTAATGCACTAATGGAATTTGTGGATGGGAAGTTTCAAACATTTGAGACTGATGCCATAATTTCATTACTTACAATGGCAATCAACTGACTGCTACACTTTGGTAATAAACAGATTCTAGTTGATGCTGTAACTAAACACTCATACGTAGCATAATGTCAGGCTAAATACCTAAAAACAAAGAAAGAAAATTTAGCAAGAAATGAAGCCATTATTCTAGGCGATTTTGCAGAAAATTATCATTATCTATAATTCAGGATGACATTTTAGAGTATCATTAGAATAAAATGTATTGCACTATACACACACCTCAGTAGTCATTTACTTCATGAACAGTTGGGGTTTTCTCCCCCATGATTCTGTGTACTTTGTTTCAGATGATAACAACCATGTCACAGTTTTTGTTTATAAAGTACAAAGATTAATAATTGAGTACATTAACAAATATCCCGGTATTGAAAAACTAGATTATTTTCCTGATGGTTGTGCTGGGTAATACAAAAATTTCATTAATTTATGTCACCATAAGCAGGATTTACAACTTGACATTGAGTGAATTTTCTTTGCAACAAGTCACCATATGATGGAATTTGGAGGTTTTGACAAGAGGCATGTTGCCAAAAAAAGGCTACAGACGCCATTAAGGTTTGTAGATTCAAGTTTTTCACATTGAGCAGTCTCATATGTTGGCTGTTCAAGATCAACTGACAGAACAATTTGAAATGGGTAAGACTGTTCCTGGTATAAGGAGCAGTCATCATTTCATTCCAATGTCAATAACGAAAATTTCTCACAAGATGAAGATGTACTATATACATTTGACTTTTGCAAGGATGAACCAAACATGATTGTACGTAATCAAATGTATCTTCATATTTAAGCTGTGTTTATGATTCTGTTTGGTGGATAGGCTTAGTTAAGATGATGAGTGTAGAACATGGTGATGTTGAAATTCAATTTTTACATCCACATGTTCCGAGAAAAACATTTAGCTAACCTTCAAGGAATGACATTTGCTTTGTACCACTAAATAAAATTTGATGTGAAATTTTACCTCCAAAATCAGCAACTGCTACTGGAAGATCTTACAAACTTTCAGAGGAGGATTTTGTTAAGATAGCAGAAGCATTTACAAGTTTCCAATCAAGAACAGCTGGATTCATTTTTTAGGATTCTACACATACACACACCACTTATTATTTGTATATAAATTACTGATGTGTTTTATTTCATGTTAACAATTTTTAAACAAAAAGTGCTTTTTATTTAAATCGAAAATTACAAATTGGTAAAGATTTATTTACATAATTTTACAATAATTTTTATCTCCTATAACTTATACACATACTTTTAATATTTCTTTCATGTTTACAATAATGAAAGAATTATTCAAATTGAAGAGGTGTTCTTACTTAATTCTTTAGAGATTAGAAATTAATAAAATAAAGAATAAAGAAAATTTGATTCATAATATTCACATATGCATTATTCTCTATTAAAAAAAGGTTTTTATTATGCTGATCGTACCGATTTTATATTTCAATACTATATTTTAAATTTCAGTAAATACTTTTTGTAGATGAACATGTTTGCTTTATCTGGTCTTTCATTTTTTTTTTTTTGTAAATTGTTATTGTTTTGTTAGTCTCCCATTTCCAATTCCATAATGAAATGATAGTGCTGATATTGTGCTTTATATATTGAGAAAAATTTGCAGGCAATGATTGATACAAGAGAAATGCACTGTTTCTATATTATTTTAAATATATCCAATTCACATTCACCAACATAATCCTGATCCTTTCTATTCTGACAATTGTTTTGCTCCTTATAGACCTTATTCAATGACTGAATAGAAACACTTAAAAACATAAAAATGCAAAATTTCAACTAATGTTTTAGCTTCTATTCTGAGCAAACTAAGAACTAACCAAACTATCTTTTTGGTACAAATAATGTTCAATATATGAAATAATAAAAAATTTTTGTTATCATAGATGCACTGCCACATAAGGATTCTAACATCCCCTCCCACCTACTGCTATGAAAACATCAGAAATCATTAATAACTTAAAATTTTGAGTTTTTTTTTTATAGCATTTTTGGATTCCTCTGGCAAAATAGCTTTTCCTGGGCAAATTTTTTAGAAGTAGGAAAGCTCTAGAACTAATTTTACACACAAAAATAGATTACAAAAATTCAAGATTTTTTGTGCAAACCCAAAACTGGGAAAAACTAAAAATGGATATAAATCAGATAATTTTGGGGAATTAGAACTTCAAATTTGGGGTATTGTCATACTTTAATATAGTAAAAAAAAAAAAAAATATCAGAAAAATTGAAGAGGTAAATGTAACTTACCCTGAATGATTTGACCTGAAATAACCCTAAATATTTTAAGATTTTATTTAGAAAATTCTGCATCAATGTTAATATAAATGGATTGCATTCTATTTAAATATTACATAGAGGGAATAAGCTTTAATTGAAAAATTTCAACAACTGTGCCTCCATCTATAAATTTTGTGATGGATTTTTAGCTGTAATATTCCTTTTTTAACATATCATAATTATTGTTTCCAATTTACATAACTGTCAGGAACATCATAACAAAAAGCCTTAAAATATTTTGGAATGTTTAAGAATAAAATAAAAATCAATCACTGATGAAAGTAAGTAAAAAAAAAATCAAGCCTTAATACTAAATAAAAATTAATTTACAAATAGTTTTGTATGTCTAAAGATGATATGTCATTCAAGGAATTCAATATTCACTGTACAAATATCCTTGTAATCAATACAAGTAAAAACAAGATGAATCAAAGGGAAACAACTCTTGATTGATTCTAGAACAGAAATACATACATGAGCAAAGCATAAGTATTTGCATCCCACAATTTAGCAGTTTTATCTGCAGAGACTGTTAGAATCTGGCTGTTATCAGGACTGTAACACAACTGAAAAAAATAAAAAATAAAAAAATAATAATAATAATAATATATATATATATATATATATATATATATATTAATGGAAAATAACTGAACCTCTTGAAGTTAGACATTTTAAGCAACCATTTTAATGTAAAATCCATTAACAGCTGCATGTAAAAAAAAAAGAAAAAAAAAATCACATCAGATATTTATTTAAATATAGCATGGATGTTTATTAGTTCCCCTGAAATTGATTTCTCTCCAGTAAGCATTACCCTACAGGACAACCAGGGATAGGATTGGAATAAAACTCGTAGCTACAATGAGTTTAACCAGTAACATATATTCCCTGATAAAGCCAATATGATAAAATATTACAAGATAAATAAGTTAACATCACTATTATATTCAAGTGATATATTCCAAGTTGATGATGATAATAATATAATAGAAAGTTAGCATTTTTTTTTTTTTAACTATCAAACAACATTCAAACCAATGGGATATTGAATATAGACAGAATCTGTTTTGCTTTCTCAAGAATATTATAAACCAATGTTATTGGCAGGGATAATGAGAAGAAAATTTCAATAAACATTGTTAATGAAGGGCCGTTGAAGTGATGAAGTATAGGCAGGTGTCAAAAGTTCATGGCTAAAATAGCAACAAAATATGATGAGCAACAGAAAATAGATTTATATTCAACTTTAGATTTTGTAACAATCAATAACTACAAGTGTTTGCATTATAGACAACTTAGCTATATTTGATTTTATTTATCTCAAGAAAGAATCATAACATAGTGGTCTGTCCCATTCTACAACAGCTTTTTGTTGGCTTTATTGACTATTCAATTTTAACTTTACATGAATGCCAATCTTGTTATACAGTCAGCAGAGCCTTTTTGTGTCAGAAACTGTAATCATTTCAGGCTGACGAAGACATCTAAATCCAGGATTTATATTACAAACTAAAATACAATATATGCATTTGTTGAAGAATGTTTATCAACTTGAACACGAATGAAGCTGTCAGTTGTGTTAATATTGTTGAAAGTAAATGATTAAATGTTTCAGAAAAAAAAAAAATTGTTAGCTATCCACAAAATCTGACAAGATTTTCAGAGAAAGAAAAAAACAGTTTATAACTTTTCATCTAAGGAATTAATGGATTTTATTTTTAATCATTTTAGCCCAAACAAGGGAACACAAAGGATTACAAAGTGTGGAAGAATTAGGAACAGTAACATTAATGATGAGCAGAAAGAGAAGAAAATAATCAGGTGGACAATAGATAGTGATTGACATTGCTTTTAAATTTTTGAAGCTGGAACAGAGTTCCATAAGCGAGAAAAGAAACTGCTAGCATAGAATTTACAGTTACATCTAGCTAGCTCAACTGTAAATTGATGAGATCTGGACACCAGTCTAGTGCTGTACTTAAATTAAAAAAAAATCTAAAAATCTTATAGCAAGGGACTCATTCGAACAATTACCATGAAAGTATTTATAGAAAAAACAGAGAGGCAATCTTATAGCAGAGGGAAAGTGACTGAAGCCGAGCCACCAGATCAGGACTAATAATATTGCAGATTCTTCTTTGGATCTTATCAAGGAACTCGAGGTAAATAGCAGGAGCAATGGACAACATGTGGCAGCAATATTCTAAGCATGTACGAATGGTAGACATAGATATGCCAGATAGATTCTGGAGAGAAAAATTGTTTCATCAGACAAAGTGAATTGAATTTCTTAGCAACTGACTTAGTTAGGGTTCCCAATCTTTTTAGAAAATCATTTTCCAGGGTATTTTCTAAATTTTCTGGAACAGCACTTATTCATGGAGGTTTCATAATTTACCATTACATCTAATATCAACACATTTAACCAGTGGTATTCTTACCTTTTTTAATGATGTAGGTTTAATGATGAAGTAACTTGGGTTCATGCCTGACAAATATATATATATATATATATATATATATATATATGAAAAAGAAAATGAAGTAAAAAAAAAAAAAGTTCCCATCTGGTTATTGTCCTTTCCAATGCTAGCTGTTCCGTAAATAGGTGATCATTCTACATTGAATTAAAATGTGAAAGTAAACCCCCACTCCCTTTTAAAATGTAATTGTTTTTTTTTTTGTTTTTTTTTTTTTTAGATATTAAAATTGTGGTGAGTTTGATGGTCTAATTAGTTCAACTCTCAGAAAAAAATTACTAGAACCCCCCCCATGAACTTGAATGAGTCCTTAGGTAGAAATTGACCAAATTTTCTTTCAACTTCTGAAAGTGTAGCTGCATTCCATGTTACACCCAAAATTATTTTTCAAGTGAAGCTGTTTTGGAAGCAGAAATCTGCTCGGTACTAAAAATGACCCTGTCTCATTTTTCTTTCAACTCCTGTTCAGATTTGTACATGTTGTTTGCTCAGATGTTTCCTGACAATAACATTGCCAAAAAATTTGCCTGTAGTCCAACCAAAGCATCATACCTGATTTGTTTTGGTTTGGCACCCTATTTCAGAGAGGAACTTAGAAAAATGCATCAGACAATCAAATTGCTATGCCACTTCATTTGACAAATGCTTGAATAAAGTTACTCAGACTGAGCAAAGAGACTTAATTGTTTGGTACTGGAGTGAGGATGAAGAGAAGATAGTAACTGGACTCTCAGTTTATGGGACATACCCAAGTAGAGGTGCTTGTTGAGAGAATAAAGAATTCTCTATCTCCACTTGATCCAAACAAACTCCTACAAATATCTATAGATGGACCACAAGTAAACTGGAAGTTTATGAGAGTATTTGAGGAGGACAGAAGCAAAGAGGAACTGAATCATCGAAGGTTAGTAAACCTTGGTAGCTGTGGTCTTTATAAAGTTCATGTGAGTTTTCAACGCGGCAAGGAGGAGACAGGATGATAGATTGATGAAAGCCTTTTGGCAGATTTTTCATGATACACCATTTAGGCAGGGTGATTTCATTGAAATCACAAAATCCTCAAAATTCTTCCTCAGATTTTGTGTTCACAGGTTGATAGAAGATTTGCCAGTTGCAGAGTGGGCCATTGAGATATGGTCATTTGTACAGAAATTTATGAATCACTACAAAAAATTCTGCAAGATGGAACCAACATCAGTGTCCTATCTCAGTAAAAAAAGGCTGTTAGTGACCACCCACCTTTTTGAAGCCAAGCTACAGTTTTTTTTTTGTTATCTATAAGACAAGGCTTCTCAGACTGTTTCTTGAAGGTTTTGAAAAGGATGCCCCAATAGTGTCTTTTTTTGGTAAAAGCTTAAATCCATCCTGGTTAATTTGCTTTCATGTTTCATGAAAAGAGATGTAATTGAGATCAACAGTACAGCCTTAAAATTGCTCAAAATGAATATGCTGAACAAAGAGCTTCATATGCCATTAAAAGAGACTGACATTGGCATTGCTACCAAACATGCTGTTATCAAGTCCTCTGAGAATCTTCCTGGCAACCAATTGCTGTGCATACTGTTCAAGAAAGAATGTCTAACCTTTCTCTCTACAACAGCAAATCATCTGCTGGAAAAATCTCCACTGAATTATGTGCCTGTTAAGACATTTAAGATCTCTTGATACTTTGTTTATGATTAGTGAACAGAGGAGTGTCGTATTAAAATTTGATGCTCGACCTGCTTTTGAATGCCAAATAGCATACTGCACAGCAATGTGACCAAATTCTTGCTGAATGGAAAAGATTACTCATTGAGATAGTTCAAGAAAATAAACAAGAGTTCTCAGAGTTTAACTACAGAATTAGCTCCTGTCTAGTAGATACATTTCTAGGTAATTTTTAAAGAGGTAAGTGGAAGTTACTGAAATACCTTTTCACATTGTCAAGCAGCAGTTGAAAGAAGATACTCTGTAAACAAGGACATTTTGATAGGAAATCTGAAAGATACTGATTTCTCTAAGGAGTGTACAAGATTCATTGTCAGATGGCCCATTAAAAATAATACCCAAATCCCTAATACAGCATTGCAAATCTTTGAGAATGATGTAGGTTAGTTATTTGGAGGAAGAAAAGAAAAAAGGAATCTACAAATGACATAAAGAGAAAAGACCTCAGCTTTGAAATCACAAAAGTGACTACAAAGAGGCAAAAAATAATGACCTGCATCAAAATATTGCAGCTAAAGGCAGATACAATGGCAAAGAAGGCTTGGAAAAAAAAAAGGACTTTACACTACTTGCAAAATCCAATGCCTACAGCAAGAGTATTGCAGAAAAAAATAAAGTGAACATTCTAGAGATACTCCTTTGTTTGAATTAAAAGAAGATTACAAAGCTATAAAAGGACTGACCTCAGCATTCTTGCTAGAGCTTAATGTGTTGCACTTTATTTTCAGCAAATCCAAGTCAAATTTTTACTCTGTGTTCTGTTGGGTTTTTTTTTATCTTTTCATAGTGTTCTGTTACTCCTTTCATTTTCATCATGGCTGACAGTCTATATCTCTTGACCTTGCACTTTTAGTTGTAGCATCTTGTTACAATGTAAACCGTTTTTTTATGTGATCTTAAACAGTTTATTTAAATTTAATAATTTACGTTATCTTTTAACATATTCAATTATGGTTACATAATACTACTTCTGTCTTTGCCATAATATAGTTTGTAATCTTGAGTAATTTGATATTTTTTTTTATTATAACTAAAAGTTGTTATTGAATTCAGCATATGTTGTAACACCCCTTATACTATAAAACCAGCAGAGCCCAAAAATCACCTCTTTAGAAGATAGGTTTTATCTCTCTTGCACAGTTGATGCATTTTTAGTTAGTGAGAAGATTTTTGGGTTGTTTAGTGACCGTTCTTGGGAACAGTATGATGCCATCTTAACATATCCTTCAAAGGAATCTCTAAAAGGTTCCTATTATTTTTTATTTCACCGGGTTACTGTGCTATTCACTGCCTTTGGTAGCAGATCATCTCTAACCAGTAGTCAGACAGGTTGCTGTATGATCCTATGTTGTGGTCAACCCTCATCATGTCCTGCCATATTCAATTGAACCCATATAGTCTGCTTGGTTATGGAATCCGATCTATTGTCATAGTGGACATGCAGTGAGAATCCTATGTCTTTCCCCTGATTATATGGTATGTGATTACCATTTGTCCTTTTAAGGGAAAATTTAAGTATTTCCCCATGACTGCATGGGCCAGTGCATGACCTCATATTCCAGTATCTTCAGCATTTGTAAACGGTTCCTGTATCCACAGTGAACAACCATTCATTCTGAGATTTTCTGAGCATGTTAATGACCTCAAGATCTTCTGCTTACAATCAAACAAACAAACATTCTGGCATCTACTACACTTAAAAGTCATTTCTGTCACATACCAATCTTCTCCTAAGTTCATCAGTATCTTATATGCAAAGTAATTGTCCTTGATATAATAGACCATTCTTTTTCCAGAGCACAGCAGCATTTTTTACTGCACCTGTCAACACAGCTTACCTTCTTCAAACATTGACTGTTCCAGTTACTATTTGCACCTGTCAAATGATTCAACATATTCTTCTGCTCATTAACGGTTCCAGATATTTACCTTTGTATGTATCAATTCTCCCGGTCAGTATTCTACACATATATCACACTTCTCTTATGTATAAAAATAATCACTTTATGTAATATATCAATCGTTACAGTTTTCACATCAACAAGCAATACATAAACTTCTTCAATCTATTTTAGCACATGACAAATGAACGTTTCTCATTACTAAGTTTCAAGTTCTGAGTCACTGTTTTTAATCTGTTTTCTCCAGAACACTTTTCAACATATAAACATTTCACATTTTCCTTCCTGGATTTTTATTTACCAAGAATAAATTTTTTGGCATATTTATTTGAATTCTTCATTTTTGTTGTCCCTGACTTTGTCCTGTCAGATCATTGTGTTTATTTTTAAGTGTTAGCAAACAGTGTCTGATTAAGACAAACCAGGCTTGTGTGCTTCTGCTACAATTTCTGGTTATTTATTTGACAAAAGCAAATTTAACTTGAAATCTTGATTTCAGTTTATTTATACCACTAAAGCAGTTTAAATATAAAAAATATCATTTTTGTAATTGTGTTATGCTTGTTTTAGCAGAAATATCTTCAGTAAATAAGCATTACATTAATAGTTCAGTAAAATAAATTTCATAACTTTAAACAAGTAAAAATAGTTTCTACTTGAATTGTTTTTACTTCAATTACATTGTACACTAATACTAGGAGCACTAAATTAAAGTAAAACAAAAATATTAGACAATTTAGATAATTAAGTTAAAAAGTTAAAAACAAAAGTAAAAATTATTTTGAATTAAACCTTTTTTTGGACTTGTAATATTTTAAATGAAAATGTTCTATTAAATGTTTCCTACTTACATTTAATTCACCTAATGATATTTAGAATCAAAAAAAGACTATTTTATTCCTTAAATGAGTTGTTTAGTAAACAAAAAAATATAGTAAATGAGCAATAAATTGTATTCATATTCTTCAGACACGGCTTTTGGTTACTATAAAAAATTGAAACTGAAATACGAAATCCAAGGGAAATAATCTCTTATATTCACCCTGAAATTTGAAACACGTTTATTAAATACATTTAAAATATATCCAGTTTTGAATATAAAATATCAAATCCAAGTTATGCTTAAAATAAACAGAATTTTGAAGAACTATACAGGGTGCGATGGGTAAACTGTCGCTATTTTATAATTTTAATTTTGCACGTGTTTTTGCTGACTGCACAGTATAGAAGGGTCAGTTGGGCACCTTCTGTGACAAAAAGAGCACCATGACACAAGTCACTCTGTCAGAAATTTGGAAACAGCATGTTTTACAGCTTGGCATTCATCCCAGAAGCTCCAATACAAACATTTCAGAGTATTTGAGTGTCAATCTGTGGACAGTGCAGATGATTCGGAAAGAGGTGTATGATATATCCAGTTAACGTCATGGTATTCGGAGTGATCACTAGTGATGCCGACGTTATGCCTTCCTACAGAGCCTCAGACTTAACAGAGGCCTACATCAAGTGACTTGAGGAGGTAGTGCTACCCTGGGTCAAGAGGGTGGCTGCTGGAAGACCCAGTGTCTGGCAACAGGATTCGGCACCATACCGCACAAGCAGGAGAACTGTCATTGTTGTAAGACAATTTCTGAGGCAACATCACCCTTTACATCTGACCATCTAATTCCGCAGAGTGCAACCTCCCTGATTATTATGTGTGGGGCGCAGTTGAACGAGAGACAAACAAAACTCCATGTAACACCAAAGATGAACTGAAGACAAGCATTATGGCAGTATTCACCAACTTAAACAAGGAGACCAGCCAGTTTCCAAAGTCATCTGGAGGTTGTAGTTGAAGCCAGTGGCGACTTTATTGAATAAATTTACTCTTTTGTATTTCAAGATATTTTTGTGTAATTTTGGTAAATATATCTATTAAAATGAGATGTTAGTATTATTTTAATTTTGGCATCATTTAGACGACAATTTATCCATCGCAGTCTGTATTAGTACATTGTTGCATTTGTTATTTCTTTCATTTGTTATGGTAATGAACCGATTAATCTACAACAATTCTTCAGAGTCACCGATGCCCAAACTTCATTTATAAGCTTTAATTCTTTGAGATATGATGCATTTAATGGCCATTTTTGTTGATGGTGACAGAAAATAAGATATCTTAAAACACAGAACCATTCAGGGCTAAAACAACCAATGCAGAATCAGCATGATATTTGACAATGACCAACATAGTACAATACTGCGGAATCATCCACCATGGGACATTTGCATCTTTGTCTAACCTCTACAGTGTGCTTGGATCTATTCTCTTCATAGCTCTTTGCTCCTACAAAAACAGCAGCTCTCTAACCCACTCAATCCCAGGCAAGTGTATCCCAGTTTGCAACATCAATAGAAAATTTCCTCATGATGGATAGTATTTTCTTCAATGTCCTCTTCAAGATTTTCTTATCAACAATCCAACTTTGATAACTCGGGACCAAATTAAAGGCTTAGTTTCACAAAAAAAAAAAAAAAAAAAAAAAAGTTTATAGTGGCTTAAAAATCAGTATCTGCTGTTATCTCCTAACCCAAGCTGATGGAGTCTCCAGTGTGTTGAAGATCAAGAGACAGCTATACTAGCATCATTCTAGGCTTTGGAAATTTCATTACAACTGGGAAATCCATTGAAAATAAGGAGCCTATTCAGCTGACATCCTTCACTAGCTGTCATCTTGACTTTGGAACTACAACTGAACTGTTTAGAACAAGGTCATCTTGTTAAGGATAGCTTTTTAATGCATTCGATATGTCCTTAATTCTAGGCATTTATCATATAAGGTAAATATAGACTGAACACCAAATATTCCATACCAATACATTCATCACATAGAAAATACGCATGAAATGACTCTTCATAAGTAAAACATTAAATAAATGTTGTCAGGGAAGTGCCAGATTATTTACATATATCAAATTGATATACTGTTAACGTAACTATCCAATTTTAAACAATTTGATTCAGAAATATAAAAGTTATTCACAAAATATAATGGAATACTACATTTTTTCTAAATCATGATAGACAAACTTTTAAAATTTTAGAATTAGTTAAATCAATGAAAGCAGATAAAGAAAATATTTAAATATCAAGTAAAAGTCAACCCACAAAATAAATGTTTCTTGAAAGTGTTTACACCTAAAGAGTGATTATTAAAATAAATAATTTTTTTGTTTTCTTTTTTTTAAAACTCACCGCATAGACTCCACCTTTATGGGCAGGGCAACCCAATTCTCCCACATTGTCAGCAGTTTTCCCATCATAGACAAAAACCTGGGAGAATAAAAAAAGATCATGACATTTCAAAACATCTGTGAACTGTATCTATTTCTTTTACCAGAAGACAAATCCAAGTGCTAACTAAAACTGCAGGAATTTCCTTAATGCATTTCACACAAAGATATTGAAACTTATCTCCCAATTCATAAAGATTAAAAAAAATAAAAATTTCCTTAATGCATTTCACAGACTAGTGGTCTTTGCAAACTCCAAGAAAATTCCAGTTTTCACATGCTGCTGTCATTGTGTCCAGAATCAAAATATTCCTTCTACACCCTTTTGCTATTGTTTCCCCAAATCCAATGCATTTACCACTTCTGTTTGAGACTGTTCAATATTTCTGGCCCTAATAATCATTCTATAGTCACACAATCTTAAATTCTATCTACATTCTATAACTGCCACAGATACACTCTTTAGCTATTACCCCCTCACATACACCATTCATTTAGATGTGTTCAGTTTCACCATACCATCACCAAGGTATTGATTTATCTTTCTCAAATTTCTTGATACTTCCATTTATACAGGTAAAACAGGGAAAGTGAGCAAATGACAAACACATTATTAAAATCCAAGAAATGGCTGACATTTTATATATATATATATATATATATATATATATATATATATATATATATAAAATGTCAGCCATTTCTTATATATATATATATATATTTATATATATATATATATACACAAATCTTAATTATGAGAACATTTTGGAAAACATGGACATATGTGCCTGCAAAAAAAAAAAAAAAAAAAAAAATGTCAAAAGGAAGTTTTTCCCCATGACAAACACTTATTTTAATTACCTTCATTTTCGGTAATGTTTATTGTTTTAAAAAGTGATGATCAGAATTGTTTCAATAACTAAACATATGATGAAAGTGAATTCATACACTTTCTTTGTTACTGGGAATTTTCAATAAAATTTTTAAACCCTATTTATTAATAAGATTGTTTATTTTCAAGAATAATTTTATATTTACAACATTCTAAAAACTAATGCAATGCGATATTCATCATTTATAAATTATAAAGAAATAAATATGAAAACAATTCTTTATTTATAAATATTTACTAAATTATTAAAATATGTGAACCAACTATAAGGAAATCCTTATTTATCATTTTATAAAGTTTGAATCAATTGGCAATTAGCCAATGTTTTGTTAGTCATTTCAATAAACAATTTAATAATGTAAATAAACAATCTAATAGTGTTTATTGTTTTTATTGTCAATTCTGAAGAACAAAGAAAATGAAAAAAATTACTTTCATATGTTTAGGTTTTATTACAATTCTAATCATTGCTTTTTAAAGCATTGCTGATAAGTGAGAGCAGTTAAAATTATAGTAGTTTCAATGGAAAAGCAGTCTTTTTGATATTCCATTTTTTTAAAGTGCACAAAGGCCCGTGTTTACCAATATCTCAAAAGAGTTGTGTTCAGAAATGGAAAAGTTTGGAAACTGATATGAATAGATTATTTAAAACTGACATTTTTCTTCTGGTGAACAAAATATGACAAACTCCAGAAGCAATACTTTTGTTATTTCCAAATATCAATTTTTATGTTTTTAGTTAAAGAAACAATTTTACTTACTTTACCATCAGCCCCACCACTAATGAATCTCTCACCGTCATGTGAGTATCTAACACAGTTAACAAAATTGGTATGTTCCTAGAAAAGCAAAAGAAAAATTTCAGAAATCATTAAAAGCCACCTCCATCCACTGCCTTTTTTTCTTTAAACCTTTTTTCAATCAGATTTTCAATCCACAAAGTTTTGGTGATTAAATAAATGTGATACAAAGATTCATGAGTGTTTGTTCATCAAAAGATTTGATTGAATGAATGCAGTTTAAAATAAGATTCAGCATTCGGATAAATTCTTATTTAATGTGTGCAATAAAAACAGACATATCAAGCAAATTTTGGGTGAAAAATGGATGCCCTCAAAATATTTTAGAGTCTATGATTCGTGCTAAAATGTCACAATTTAAAAAAACCTAACCAAATTGCATTGTCATAGTATTTTAAAATCAGAATTTTCTTCAATTTCTTTCTTTTTATCAGTAAAAGTTTATTCAGATCAAATGAAGAATTTATTTTATTTTACAGATGATGTCTTGTTTCATTTTTCCATTAAATATATTTATATAAGAAGAGAGAAAACTTTCGTTATTTTTCTTCCATTAATGTGATTGTTGTTATTGTGACCACAACAGTGGCAGGACATCCAGACATTAAACTTAACTTTTTTCATAATGGCAGATGCATTTAAAAAATATTTCAATAATCCACAAGATATAACGGAAATTCTGTCAAATAAAAAAATTAACTGTTTTCAGTTAAATTGTATGAATGAAAAAAAGAAAAGAAAAAAGATCAACATGGTCACAACAAATTTGATATCAGCCAGACAAAAGGTGTCATTTGATATCAGCCAGACAAAAGGCGTCATTTGATATCAGCCTAATAAATCCTCAAATTTTGTAAAAATAGAAAGTTTGTTTTTTGTTCAGTTTAAGCCAAATTGTTTAACTCTATATTATGTTTTAGATTCTGTCAGATAAAAGTGACTGATTTATTCAAAAAAAAAAAAAAAAACTGTGGAAGATGAATAATCATTGAGAATTACAAATTAGATATAAACAGAAAAAAAATATTGCAGATTCATATTTAAGTGGTACATATTTAAAAACGTTTAAGAAAAAGCATAAAATAAGCAATATACAAACCCGAAGCATTTTGTCAAATTTAAAGGGAGGTCCCTCAAGGAAGGTGGTATGCTGATCTTCTCCAGCAGTGACAATTTTAAATGGTCGGGTTGGCTTGTAGTCACAGGAATTGATAGATTTACTGTGTCCCATGATTTCTCCAACTGAGGATCCAGAATCAGCCAAAAATACATGACCAAACCTAAAATTTGAAAATGTAATCTCAAGCAGATTTTTCAAGATCATCATTTGAATCAACATCCAAATATAACAAACTAAGATGTGTCTTGTGGTGGGGAGGGGATCTGAAATTCAAAAATAAACAAAACTTAAATTATATCATCATTTATCAGCATAGTAATATAACAAAATATCTACTAAATGCATTAAATATTTTATTTTTTCTGAGGAATATTTTCTATATATACACGAGAATAGAAAATTATTAAAGTGCAGCAATAAAAGTAGTCGAACAAAACATCTGTGTTGTGCATATGATCTGCACAAAAGAAAAAAAAAAAAAAAAAAACCAATCCATGTTGCTAGCACGTTTATACACAGAATTAGGCAAGAGATATAAATTTTGATTTGATCAAATGTAAGCGTGTATTTAAATGGCTACTTTTTGTGAGCCAAAAGTGTGATGTCTTCATGACTTGGTTATCTGTGCCTTCCGTTTTGCTATAAAGGTCATCTAATAAAGTTATTAGAAATTTGAAAATGTAAACTGCTTATAACGATTAAAAATAGTTCTTTTCACTTTTTAATTGAATAAATGAAGGGACTGAAATTGAGACAAAACTTATGCCTATTTCATTAAGTCAATCTATTCTGAAGAATAGCATGAATTATCTCCCTTGAATTTTTTTTTTTTTTGTAATTTCGAGCAAGAACACACACAAAGTAATCATGGCACATGCAAAATAAAATAAGAGAGAAAAATAAACCGTCAGAATTATCTCATGTTTTGTAACAAATTTATTCTCCAGATTAACTTTTCTTTTACATTTGTATTTCTTCCATTTTGTAGTGGGATTGACACAAAAGAAACATCAAGTTGGTTGTATTCAATTTAATCATAATGAAACTAACTTACCACAGAGAACATATGTAAATACATATAGAAGCATATTAACTGGGCGCCATTGTTCATGGAAGTTATACACCTACAAACTATAAAGTATACGTTGGTATTGAGGAGATGAGAAAAAAGTTAGCAGGATTCACAAAATGACAGAGTAACTGCCATTGTTGACAGTGAGAATTTGGGTCTACCAGTTGGAGAACCAAGAAAGTGTTAACTGGCTTCAAAGTTGAGAACTTTGTTGAATTGATCTGCCAGTTTGTAAAACAGGAAGAAGAATGCTTTGCAACCAAGGATGCAGGTGTATGTAAAATATTCATTATAAAAATATACATTGATGTCGAGGAGGGAGGAAAAAAAAATTGGCAGAATTCACAAGACTTTGTTGAATTGATCTGATAGTTTGTAAAACTTAATTTTCTTTGTGCAAATCATTTTTCTGATATTACCACTCATTAGTTGACATAAGAGATATGGGATTAATCAAGCAATAAACATTAGTAACTGCTATTTTGTGGAACAGACTTTTTCCTGAACACTACAATCTTCAAGGGTCTAGCCCCTTTTTCATTTTCCCTTCTTACCAAACACTGCATTCATCAACTATTTTAACAGAAACATTTTACCTTCAGTGTCTCTTCTATTCAATGAATGTTAGTATTATAAAAAAAATAAAAAGGAGAAAAATTTTGGAAATGACAATTTTCCCCAAACTTACTTTTCTCTGCCATCACCACCTACTACAATTCTTTTGCTATCAGGGGACCAGGCAATATCTTTAATGGCACCACCAAGAGGTTGGTACTCATGAGCCAAACAATGTTCTGGGTTGACAGTGTCCCAAATCCTAATCTTGCCATTAGCATCTGTGAAAAAAAGAGAGAGAGAGTTATTTAAAAAGAAATCAGATAAAATAAAAGAAATAAGATTCAGAAGAAAATTTGAAACCGACTCAAAATTATAATAGTTAAGACAAATATTAGAATTAAATGACTAATTTTGAAATTTATAGACAAGACAATCAATATTCTTAGATATTGAATACACCAATACAGAATTCTTGAAATGTTCATAAAAATTTGTGTATGTGCACACACATGAAAGTGAGTGGATGGGCGAGAGCAACTTGTGATCACACAGGGTCATAGTATCTTTTAAATAAAAATAACCAACTGATAATATTAAGATATCAAAATTGGAACATTCTAAACAACTGTACATTATAGTAAAATGCATCTGGAAACTTGTTTATTATAAGTGGATTGATTTTAATTCATTTAAATAAAGTGTTTAGGATCAAGTGATTTTGATAATGATAACCATTTGATAACATTGTGATTATATAAAATAATCTTCTATTATTACCAATGTTATGAAGAAATAAAAATTTGATTTTGTCATCAATTTTTGGAGAGTGTCTGTGTATGAATCAAAAATCATTCAATTCCTTCAGGTTAATTCTTTTATTCAAATAAAGATTAAGCTATTTCTGCAATGAAGGACACAGTTTCAATAAATCTTCTTGTATAAGAATTTCTTTTAAGCAAATGTTGAATTGAGTCTTCCTTTGACAAAGAGTAATAAGTAAAAAAAAAAAAAAAAAAATCAGCCAAATAGGATTCTACATCAAAATGCTATTCAACCATAGAATTTTAGAAACAACCAATTGCAATGTAAATCAGTTTTACTCATTTTCAATGATCAGCATTTTAAGGACATGAATGTTGGTCAATAAATATTCTATATACAAAATTGTTATTTCCAAGCTTAAAAACAAAAGAAATTAAAAACAGTTTTCCCCATTTAAATAATTAAAACTTTTTTCTCTATGCCTGATGGCCTAAAAGATGCATGGACACGTCCCCCATTTCATCAGGGTATATGCAGAAAAAAAACCCCAAAAAAAACCAAAGAACTTTTAGTGTATTTATCAATGTTAAAAGAAATATTAATGGAATTTCATTCATGTTCCTTAGTTGCAATACAAAACAGATTTTCTTTCATACACTTATAAAATCCTAATATTTTCTTCTTCATAATCAGTTAGCATATTTTGTGTTGTGTTTTTATATGAATTTATCAACCCTACCATTTCATAAAATGGTACTACCAATATTCTGATCCTGCAAAGCTCTGAATCTTTTGTTCTTCTGCTAATTTCTGTAGCCTTTCATTTCTCAGTGTTTTACCATGATTTTTACTTACTTTCAGTTATATCCCTTACTTGTGTTGTTTTCAGCTGGTTAATGAAAAGTGTGTTGAGGCATACTTATATATGATGGATTAGCTGGTACTGATGAATGTTACAAATAAATCTGTTACAATAATTCCTTTTAACATACTGGTAATAATAATAATAATGTCATCTGAGAGTGATTACTCTTAGATAAATTAGTAGATAGTGATTGACATTGTATTTAAGTTTTTGACAATTAAAGTTGGCTGGAAAGCACAGAGCCAGAATGGAGTTTCACAAGCGAGAAGTGTGAGAAAACCTGTTAGCATAGAACTTACGGTTACATCTAGTCAGCTCAACTTTAAATTGATGAGATCTTGAAGCCAATCTAGTACTGCACTTAAATTCGAAAAGTCAAGGTACCATAGCGAAGAGTTCATCCGAACAATTACCATGACAGTATTTATAGAAAAGACACAAAGAGACAACCTTACAGTGGTGGAAGCTGAGCCACCAGATCAGGACCAAAAATATGGATTCTTCTTTGGATTTTATCAAGGTGCTCTAGATAAATAGTAGGAGCACCAGACCAAATGTGGCAGGAATATTCTCTAAGCATGGACAAATGGTAGACTTATAGATATGTAAGATTGCTGTAGCAAAGAAAAAAAATTGTAAACTTGTAGTAGCAATAAACGCCTGCAATAGGTTTCTTCTGTCTCTCGAGTGCAACACTTGTAGCCAAATCACAGTTTAAACGATAGTTCATCGTGTAACAGTCCAACAGGCAATAGATTCTGATACTTAAAGTAGTAGATTCTTGCTAACTACTTTTGATAATTTTTCTTTGGCAGATTGCACACAAAACACTAACTCTTTTTTTTTTAAGGTAGGTGATTATCTCTTTCACTACAAAGACAGATTCTGGAGAGAAAAATTGTCTCATCTGATGCAGTGAACCAACTTTCTTACAACTAGAGATAACTATTGAAAGGATTAAATATTGTCCTAGTGATATAATAATTGTCCCTCATTAAAACTGCTTTTTAACTTCTTTATGGCCAGAATCCCAGATGTTTCTGCTCCATCTTTCTTTTATTGATCCTCTGGATTCTTCAATAGAAGAGAGACTCTGATAAATACATCAATAAAGGCTACTTATTGATCAAAGGAAAAGAATTAAACTTTGTTTATGGCTTGTAACTTAGGGTAAAATAATGCTTATTTCTTCAGGAAACAATTTTCCCTTTTATATTTTGAGATTTTCTCTTGGGTAGATGCTAACTGACCAACTCATTACCAAACCTTATTAATTAAAAATTCTTTTCTTTCAAGATGCTTTCACAATCCAGAAACTTATTATCACATCTGTATTCAAGCATCAGCAAATCGCCTAATGATGTTCTGACAATCTTATTTTTATGGATGATTTTTCAGACAAAATGAACACAAATTAGTTTGACTCTCTTTAAAATTGACTCTCTACCTAGTTTAACAATTCAGTCTCTTAAAATCTGATCACTACCTGATGCTTCTCTTACTCTTTAAAGTATAAATTTCTTTACATTCAGTTACTGGAGCATAATTCTTCCAAAATAGTTTTACCTACCCAAGTTTTGATCTTACAATTTTATCACTTGTCCTAACTTCCTATCAAGACATCATCTCTTATTAACCTTTTTCTCCAATCAATTCTTATTCAATATCCAGTTTTATCTACATGTACCATTTCATGGATCTGAGTAGTTAAATGTTTAACTTAAATGATTTTCTGTTGGTGATTCATAAAGATTTTAACTAAGTTGATTGTGCTACAATATCAATTATTATACTTTAAAAAGAAATACCAAATCTAAATATATCTCACAAATGTCTATTCCACTTTTTAGTTTCATAAAAATGACTTCTAGAAAACAGCAGATTAAGTAACTACAATTCAGGAAAATACTTACTGAAAACTTAGCTTCAGACATTTTTTTTGATAATATTTATTTTGATAAGGACAAAAAAATGATGAATGTATAAAAAAAAAAAATCAACCATATTACGAATCCTTTAGTCATACTAGTAAAACTATAATGTCATTTTTATTTTTATAGGTAAGTGAATGTCATTCAAAACAAGCAACTCACATTTTGATGAAAATGAATTAGGAAAAAATGACAACTGGAAAAGAAAAAAATTTCTGGGATGAAAATCCAAGGTTGTGAGAGAACATTATTAATTATCAGCTTTTATTTTGTGAGAAAAAAATTAAGGTTGGGAAAGTGATGATGCATTAAGTATCAGAAATCCCTTTTATATTTTATACTTATATTTCTATTAGTGTGCCTGTATGTGTGTATGCACAAAATACATGTTTAATTATACTATAAAATACCCATGAATATTTCATGGTTTTTCTATTTTAATTTTCTGCTGAATCTTAATTCTTTAGCGAACTATTGAATAAGTTTATATCAAGTTCTATAACAATAAAATATTCACAGAAATTCTCCTATTGCATTGTTAAATATTTTAGCTTAACAGCTTTAATAAAATATTGCAATAACAATCATAAATATGAATGCTGGTTATTTTAAGAAGTGGGTACAAATGAAAATATTTGAAACTGGCAACTTTTTACATTTCACTGAAACTGACATTAAACACTTCCCTTTTTTAAATTTTTTTTTCACTGAAACCAAGTAGCACCTCTGTCTTTTCAGTCTTTCCTTCCATGCAAACAAAGTGGCATAGACCATTATTTATGAGGTATTGGTAGGGTGTAACACAATGTACGGGCTAACTGAAGGAGGGACAAACATAATTATAAGAACATTTTCAAGAATAACTTCATTCCTCACCCTATAATTTTATTGGTTGAGATTTTCAATCAATTCTCAACCTTATATGTTCTTGTTATTGGTGGTCATATACTTTTGCCTACTGTGATATCAATTCAGAACTTTCAAAATTTTTAAAATCAAATTTCTCATTTAATGACTCACTGCAACCAGGATTAAATCTCATTCATTTCACAGAACAAACATTTGGTAACCAAATAGCGTCTTTTGTGACTAACATTAATATCTCTATGCATTGTCATTGTATTTCATGTTGACTCCTTTTATCAGCAAAGTAACTTAGGATTAGTGATTAACAAAAGGAAGTCTTTATTTTGTCTTTTGCCTTCCATTCAACTAAATCACTCTCAGTTAATCTCTGACTAATGAGATAAGATTACAAACAATTTCTCATCTTTAATCTCAGCTGCATATACGGTGGCTGCCAACTGCAGTTTTTCTATATCTTTTTTGTATTTTTTTTTTTTGGAAAAGTGGGGCATAAAAACCATTTCAGACTGAACAGACGCATACAGTGCAAAGTTTCAGCCTGAAACTCAAACATCACGTTCTATTCAATCAAATTCACATTCTATTCAATCAAATTCACGTTCTATTCAATCAAATTCACGTTCTATTCAATCAAATTCACGTTCTATTCAATCAAATTCACATTCTATTCAATCAACAGATTAAGAGAAAAGGTTATCTAAATAAAGAAGTAGAAAAGTGAGGAAAGGTTGAATTTAGGATTTTATAATAAAACCGGATTTTATTTTTTAGGTTTTATTCAACAAAGAACATAGCAATACTCATGATAGCAATATCCTTTCAGTAAGAAACAATCCAATGACTTCACACAAGAAAGGGGCAAAGTATCCACATCTTATTGGCCAGGATGCTAGTCATCCTGTACTAAATAAATGGATAGGTCATTAAAATATGGAAGAAAAGAAACAAAATTATCACAGGGTCAGAAGTACATTCACATACTAGCAGTTTTTTTTTTTTTTTAACAATAGCATTCAAGCCTAAAATATTCAATAAATAATTTATTTCTCAATTAAAAATACCAACTTTGATTTCTGGAGCTAAAAGGATCCAGATTTTGATTGATTCATTCATTTTCTACAGATTATCACCCCAGGTTATTTAAAGCCAAAAAATATTTTGAAATTGTAAGAATTTTTTTTTTTGGGGTCAGAGATAATGATTTAGTGAGACAAGTTTTACTAATTAACCCATAGATACATGTGGGAGAAGAGGTGGATTACTCCCATTCATAAGGGTATTTGTACATCAGTGAATATAAGAGATAAAAATAGGAAAGAATATTCTCTTAATGAAATCTTTTGGTGGTTAAAGATTTTTTAAATCTCCCACAGACTTAAAAAGAAAAAAAAAAAAAAAGTAGCAAAAGGTCTAACCAATATTAAAAATAATTTCTATTCTCTTAAAAGTTTTTTTTTAAATCAATAAAGTGCAATAATTATTCAAAAGTTGTGCAAATATATATTTGCTTATATTGTTAAATCTTTCATTTTAAAAACTTTTTAATCTTACACAATTTGAAAAAAATAAATATTTGATGAATATAAATATAAATCTTTAATTAAATATTATTCATGAAATTTGTGAATAAAAATTCAATTTTCAGACATTTTCTTGGTTTATATTCTCCAAAATGGTTTTGGAAAATATTTAGCATTTTCACCACATTACAAAATGAGAGACATCATCAATCCATTTGACCAAGCGCTGTAGGCCCCCAACCTCCAATAAAGAGACTTTTTTTTTTTTTTCTATAGACATTTCCATGTGACCAAATAAAACTTGGAACATTTAGATCTTAACAACACTTTTTTTCAGCACCTCTATTCAAATTGAGTAATACATAATCAAAATTTACAATGTTCTTGTTAGTACAATGTTTATGATTTGTGATTGATTACCTCAAACAAAATATCAAGCTGTAACACATTACCGGAAACTAAACGAATACAAGTGCTTTGTCTGCTTTGCATATAAATGGCCATTTGTAATGTGCAAAATGCGCATGCACAAATGTGAGTCTTACTATACAATTGGCCAATGAATATTCATTATTTTGATGTATATTTAAGGACTCGCTTGAAGAGGCAAGACAGTTTTGTTACCAGCAGCCATTAAAAGAAACTTACAAGTGGCTATGGTCTACGGTGGACTGTGCATTCCACAATTTATAGTTGGAGTGAGTTGCTCTTCTTTCCTCAGCATTGAATGTGAAGTACCTCTCTTTATTTGTATCACAGAATCAAACTGCTCACAGGAACACAAAGCAATACTTTATTTATAAGTCATTCATTTCAATAGACATTAAAACAATTTCTGAGAAAGGAGTGGGTGAATGACTGCGTATTGATGCTTCCATGACAAATGGTTAAAGTGACATTCATGAAAGATGGCCTCCCAATATGTAGAACATAAATTTTATTCCCATTAGAAATGAGCTTTAAATCAGAGTGTTGTGATAAAAAGTAGCACTAATAGAGTAAAACTAATAGAAACAGAATTACTAAGTAGGACTAATAGAGTAAAACTAGTAATAAAATAATAAGTGAAAATGCTTCATCTACAGAAAAAAAAATCAAATCAAATAAAAGCATTTTGAAAGTTAATTTTGCAATGAGTGGAATAGAAAACTCAAATATTACTAGTGTGTCACTTTATATTTTTAATTGTGGACAAATAAAAAACAAATTAAAATTTTGAAGTAAATTTTTTCACAGAAAGTAATACTTATAAAATGTAATGGTTCAGGGTTAATTAGAAAAAATTATTAAATCCAACAATTTTCAAAATTCTAATGAAGCAAAAGAAACTTAAGAATGTAAATACTGAAACAGAAAAATAAAATTATCTTTGGAAAAAACTAACTAGTTTGGGGTGAAATTTTAACCTTCCCTTTGAGAATTATTCAACTGGGTTTTCTTTTTGGGTAAAAGCTGGCATCGATGCTTTTTTGTGCCATTTTGGAAAAACTAGGTGAAATCACAATCTTCTGATTGGTTCATAACTGCCTGTTCAACTGCTGTAGCCCACATGAATCACTTTTTGTAGCTTTACCAACATGATAATTCCAGTCACAAGAGACTCCTCTTTGTCTCTGTTCATGATAAATTATAAATGTGTCCTCAAAGATGTTACGTCTTTGTTCAATGACAGAATGAGGCACCGTATACACACATTTAGATCCTGTGACTACTAGTGGCTCTGTAATAGCATGTTAAATAAGACTAAGTCTTCTATCTCTCTACTTTTTACACAATTTAAGATGTTATCATTTTCAGCTGATAAAGCAGAAAATTTTGCCCATAAATTCTCTTCCAATTCAAATCCCAACTCAAGTAAAGAATCTTTGCATAACTTTCCACTACTGTGCAATATGCACACATATATAACTCATAAATCCACGATTTCTGTTATCATGTGGATCCCCACAAATCATCTGGACCTGATGGTGTATCTCTGCAATAGTCTTTAAGAAATGGCTCCTGTTCTCTCTAAACTATACAATAAATGCCTTGCTGCTTTTTTCTTTCCTGCTTGTTGGAAATCATCTTCTGTAGCTCCAGTCTTTAAGAACTCAGGAGCTTCTCACAGAGCTTTCATTTTGACAAGCAATATGACTTTTGCTTCTCTAGGTCAACTGCTGATGTATTAATGATTATTGCTGAAAGAGTCTATCAAGCTTTAGAAAAGAATGGTCAAGCTGTTGCTTTCAATATCTCCAAAGTGGTGCTATCTTGAATAGCCTCTCTTCTAGATTTTTTTTTTAATTAAGGCTCTATCCTTGAACCTGCATCATTCCTAATTTTCATCAATAATCTTCTCAATGTCATCAGTTCTCAACTTGATATCTATGCTGATGGCACTACTATTTACTCCTATCTTAATAGTAAATTCAATAAGGTCAAAAATGACCTACAATTTGTTGTTAACTGGAGCAAGAAATGGCTTGTTAATTTTAACAACTTCAAAATGAATCTACACTTCTCGTCTGAAAGAACCATTTTTACCTCCCATCAGCATGGCAGATGCTAACCTCCAAGTGAGTGACACATTGCACCTTCTCAGGTCAACATTTTCTGCTGACATGAAGTGCAAAGAATATATTCAATAAATAGATAGATCTGCTGCTAGCAAAGTTATTTCACTGTGTCATACTAGACAATTTTTAGTTACAGAATATACCTTACACATTCATTTGGGCATTGAATATTACTGGTGCATCTGCTATATATTTAGAGATTCTTGATAAAATCCAAAAGAAGAATATTATTGGTCCTGACCTGGTGTATTGACTTCAGTCACTTTCCCACTGCTGCAACATAATTTCCTAAGCCTTTCTTATAAATATTTTCCTGATAACTGTTCTGATGAGCTTTCCTCTTTGGTAACTGACATTATGTATTTAAATTCAGTACTAGATTGGCAGCTAGGTCTCATCATTTACAGTTGAAATGGCTAAATGTAACTAAGTTCTATGCTAACAGTTTCTTCTCCCTTATGGAACTCTCTTCCAGCCTCCTGCTTTCCAGTCAACTTTGATCCCCAAGAATGTAAATGCAATGTCAATCATCATCTTCTATCTTAATTCCTGTTCTTTTTATTTTCCTTTAAGATTTTTCTTTTTCTCATAGTCACACTTAGTAACTCCTTGCATCTTAGTGGCTTTATTATCTTGCTTGATGAGAAATGATTAAAAAAAAAAAAAAAAAACTGATTTTCAAACAAAATTTTAAAAAAAATGACTTTTCATAAAGATTAAATTTTTTAATATAACTTTTTGATATGTTGTAGTATGTTCTGACATTTTATACTCAAAAATACATAAAAAAAAAAAGAAATGGTCTATACTCATACAATTTGCATTGTCATTTTTAGAGAGACTTTTCACATTCAAGAACCCATTTTATCAAGTTAAATTGCCAAGTGTTGTAGAGAGAAGAACATATGAAAAGACAAATTATAAGTCTTAGACAATGGAAAAGCAATAGTCATATTTATCAGTGGAACAGTAAACTGCAGGTCATATTCTGAGTATTAAAGTTCAATGAAGTAGCGATTTCTAAGATAATCAGTTATGATCAGTCAAAGTTAAAATCAATATATAGGAATTTAAGCTCAACTATATTGTCTATGCAGGTAGGTTAGGGTCAAGATATAATTGGAAAATATTTGATTTTCTTTGTTAACTCTGAAAAATAAAATCAAGAATTTTTTCCTTACCTCCAGATGCAATATAAAACCCACTTGGAGAATACTGGGCCACATTAACATTCACAGCATGTTCTGTGTAGATATCACAGTTGGTAGGATTCTAAAAGGGAAGAAAATATTGCATCTTTAAGAGAATTGTAGTAGTTGAAATATTTGAATATTTTAACAGCCATACATTTAATAAGAAAAATGAAATTTATGTGGCATGACTCATTCTAGAATTAAAAAAATAAAATAAGAATGTACAACAGTATTATTTTCCAACATCAATAGAATATAAAGATTAAATAAAATGTGAATGTTTGAAAAAAAAAAAAAAAAATCCTTATGTCGCATAATTGATAGGTTTGTGTATCTTTTTTTTTTTTTTACACTAAATCTAACAACTATTAAAGTTGCAATTTTCTTTTAACAATTTTGCTAACCAAAGTCTAAAAGCATCTATTTCATCCAGAATCTCTTATCTCTGACCTGAAGAATTGAATATGCAAGATAAGCTTATTATATAAAAAAAAAAAACTCATCCAAAAATGTGATAAAACCAAAGACGGCAAGAATATTATTAGTCATGCATTTAATGACTCAGTTCAGAATTATTTGGAAACACAAACATTTAATGTACACATCTAAAAGACAGGGAATTGGTTAGCAAGTAATTCCCTAAGCAATTCCTCAGGTATATCCTGTGCTTACTATATATATCAACCAATATAGTCAGTCCACATATGCAATAGGGTGTGTGGGACATTCCAACACAAACATTTGTTTTTATAATCAAATTTTCAAAATGAAGTCATTATAGGTAGAGAGGTTGACTTAATTGGCTTTCTGGGATCAATATTATTCTTTCTAAAAAAAAATATCCCAAAAGGCACACACGCTTAAAATAATAATCCCACCCCAAGGTTATTGTTGTAGATAAGGAAAGTAAGAAGTGTCAAATAATTGATTTTGCTGTTCCATATCATACAAGAGTAGACTCCCAAAAACTAAAAAATGATGGAAAATTATGAGGAACTGGTTAAGATGTTGAAGAAGCTATAGAACATGACTGTTGAGGTAATTCCTGTAGTAAATGGTGCACTTGGACCACCATCTAGAAAATTAAAAGAGCATTTAAGGAAAACTGGAAGTGAGACCAGTATTGTGAACCTACAGAAAAAACATCATTTACTCTGCAGGAATTCTCAAAAGAATTCTGGAGTTATGAGGAGTCTTGTTCACCTCAAGAACAAAATTTCCATTAACTACATAAATGTGTGACATTAACATAATAAAAGCAACAATTTATAAAATATTTTTGATGATGATTCATGAAAAAGAAAGAAAAAGAAAGAAATTTGAGCAAAGCTTTAGTTCTACCCATATCTAACAATCTCATTTTAAAAACTAAAAAAAAAAATGTTTTTTTTTAATCAAAGAGAAGCAAAACTTCTCTTGAAAGTTTATTTACTAACCATGCTTCTGATAAAAAATAAAAAGTATTTCTTTTATTTTTAAGAGTTTTTCTTTTGTGTCATTGATTTTATATCTGCTTGATTTTGTCATGACTCTTGACTACCAGAATAAAGTATTTAACAGGACACACCCATTTGTAACACAGCCTTTTTACAAAGTGGAACATTCTAAATATATATAATAACAAAGTTCAAAAATAGATATTTGCAAATAAAAGCAAGGTAAAGACAACTGTTTAAAAAAGAAAGAAAGAAAGAAAGAAAATGAGGGATTGATTTAAAACTATTTACATTATGAACAGGAATATCACCCCTAAAATGATTAAAAAAAAAATCCATATCTTTTAATTCTGACAAACATTGTGCTGAAAGAAAAACCTAATGAAGGTGAATCAACAAAAATTAGGTAAAAACATTTTGCTCATTCTCATTTCTTTTTTTTTTTTTTTTAACCAGTGAATCAGTTTCCCTTCAATAGTGTCATAGTCCAGATCTAAAAGGGGGGGGGAGGAGGAGGAGGAGGAGGAGGATACTTTTTACATCATTATGCAGAGAGTTTTCTATCTTAACAAGTATTAACATAAAACAAGGCCAGTAGTGATAATGTACATTGCTTTATCAATTATCTCTCTCCTCTTTCTCTTCCCTCGGCATAACTCTGACCTGCTCTTGAAATTCACTACCAAGCCAAATAAGGAGTGCTGTAACAAAGTAGAGCTATTGTCAACAAGCGCTTGGAATAGGACATGTGTTCTACTTTACACTTCCATAGACAAGTAATTGTTCTTATTCAATATAAGAACAATTACTGATACATTTTAAAACTTAGTTTTACTAGAAGCCTACAAGCAAATGACCATTCTTTTTGTCTCTCAGTTAAACTTTTTAATGAAAACTTTTCTATTTATTAAATATCAATACATAAAAAAATTACTAAATTTTATAAAAATATTCATGATAATATTTTGTAAGTAAAATGCCATCATTGTGAGCCATTTTGAGTTGTTTGCTGCTGGACAAAAGGCCTTTTCTCAAATCCTTCCATAAAGACCCTGACTAAAATATCTCTTATCAGCAAATTCTTCTAAGACACAATAAATGAAATGTAAGGAAGATCAAAATAATTAGTGAGATTAGATACTTTGCTTTACTAGACAGACTGATCATATTTACAAGGTCTGCATTTAGGCCAGGTCAAATCAATTTCCAGCCAAATAGATTTGTTTTTCAAGAAATCAAAAATTCTAATCTGCATATTTTTTTAGCAACTGAATACAGTTGACAAGCAGAGTTATTGCTGACAACTTTTGCACACATGTAATACTTCAACAACTATTACATTAAACTATACAAATTTCAAAAGAGAGAACTATATAAATATTTTATCCCTTGTTGTAATGACTAGGGGGGTGTTATCAACTGACACTAAAAATGGACAGTCTTAGGTCAGGTGTAATGTGTGGTAATTGCCCAAATACTCTTTTATCAACTATGCAAACATAGAGACAGTGGCACATATGATAATCTAATTTCATCAAGTAACTGGGCTGTCTTTTCCACAAACATTTTAATGAAAACTGTTCTGATGAGCTATCTTCCCTGATGTCCTGACTACATGAATTTAAGTATGGTACTAGATTGGCATTTAGGTCCCACCTATTTACTGTTGAAATAGATGTAACTGTCACTTCTACTTAAGCAGTTTCTTTTCTCACACTTCCTGACAGTGAAACTCTTTTCCCTTTACTTGCTTCCCTGAATCTTGAATAAATTAAAATGCAACATCAATCACCATCTTCTGTTGCTTTGATCCCTGTTCTTCTTTTATCCTTTCCTCAATCCCCCCCACCCTCTATACACAGTCTTTCCCTCACTTTCACTGTGTGCTAGTGGCACTCCTGCCTTGCTTGGGTTTGTAGGGAGACAATAATTGTCTTCCCTTGGATTGGTGGCAGGGCTTAAGACATTGCATGTCCGTTGGTCACATGGGAATTCAGCCCCTTACCAAAACTTGTTTGGAGGGGAGTTTTTGCGTTTGTTCATTGAATAGGTACCATCTCTTTTTTCACATGTGGAAAACAGACATTTATGTTCCCTGTATTTGGTTGAGTGGAAACGAGACCTGTGTCTCTAACTTCGGTGAGGCATTTTATTTCACCTTGTCATGGGAACCAGAAAAAGTAAGACATCTTGTGTTTATCTTTTATATACCTCAATCAGATATGTTCATTCTTGAATCAATGTGTACAAACTGTACATTCATCTGCTTTGGGACACATGCAATTTGTTGTAACGTATTTATTAAATGTTTTAACTGTGTAAGAGTGTATCTCACCTTTCATTTCTGTTTATTCAGTATTAGTGTATCAATAGATACACTAATGTTAATATTAGTACCTGGTGAGTGGGAAACTATTAAACATCTTCCTAGCACCAAATTGCTGGTAAATTATGACTGACAAATAGAACTATAACAATAAATGGTACTATTAGGGTGAAATGCTTAAAAAAATAAATAAAAATAAAAATATGCTTTCACTTTTCTTTCAATTGTTTAAATTATTTAAATTCCCAGCCAAGTAAAAAATTAAGATAAACTCAGGACATTGTATTGGGTTGGCCAAAAAATTAGTTTGCTTATTAAGTAGACTATTTATTGCCAACCCAATAGACAAGGTGAGTAGAAAGAGAATAATAATATAGATACTCTATAGGAGTAGATATGAACAGAGGAATGAAAAAAAATCTACCCTCAGGGATTAAATGAAGGGTTCAGTTCAAAATTCTCTGGAGATTACCAGGACTGCCAATCACTTGATGAAAGTTGGAGAACCCAATGGCCAAAATGTGATAACGACAAAAAAATGAGGACAGTATTCGACATGTAAATAATGTACACAATTATTTGTATCTCACGAAACAAATTGCAAGCATCAGTTTGGATTCACCCCATAATGGGGTCAACAATATCTAACACAATTTGTTTCCCTATAGAAAGTATTTAATGTCATTTAACACAAATGCAAAGAGAGCAGCACTGATGGGGATCACAAGATTGTCCTTGGTAATACCTCAAGAATTTTTATACAAACCCAAGTGGCCACTGCAGTTTAGATGATACAAATAAAATTTAAATATGTCATAATCTGGAAGCCTAATAGTGAAAAAAAACCCAAAAAAATACTCATGTTTGAATTTGCCAAAAATTACTGTTGCTATTTGTGATTTTTTTGTCAAAAAAGTTTTATATGAAGCCTTCCCTAACTTTCACAAAATCAATTTTTCACCTACAAACAATTGTAACTATGTCTTTGAAAGAGTGACACCTATTTCAAAAATTCATTTAAGTTAAACAGAAATATTAAAAACAATTTTCATCAATTTTAAATCATCAGGAAGAAGAATCAGGGGAATATAATATAAAATACTATTTTTTTTTTTAAATAGGCAAACAAAAATACAGGGGGTGGCAGAAATAGCTCCCATATACACTCCCCACATAATGATAAAATATGAGTAGCAATGGTGTCTTCATCTAGCTAATGTCTTACCATTATGTGGGAGGTATTTCTGCCATGCCCTGTGTTTGCAGTTTAATTTTTCATAACACAGAAACTTAATTTTATAATACACAGAAAATCAA